GGACAATGAACTGCAAGGTGCAAATGGAGCACAAATGATCAAAGTGAGAGACCCCGTGCCTGGCTGTGCATTTTGGGACCATTTTGGTTCATCTTGGGTGCAGCCCTGGCTGGGCTCTTGTGCTGCCCAAGGTGGATCCATTGAGGAGATCCTTCTAATAAATCCCTGCTTCATTCTTTAACTCTGTTTGGCCTCTGTTCTAGGCCAGCCTTCTCAGCAGCATCTACAAACCACCAGATTCCCACTCATCATGTGGTGACACACAAACCCATCCTCAGCAGTTTCCCTCTCCACAGCTGATCTGCCACGGTCCCATCCTTCCCAGGGGGGTTGGGGGGTGGCTGCAGCCCCTCTGAGGTTCCCCACCATGCCACCAGCAGCTCTCCTGGCAGTGCAGACCCCCATACCCTGCCCCCTTGGCTCTGACCCTGTGTATGGGGTGAACGGTCCCTGTCCTGCAGCAGCAGCATCTGCTTTGCAAACATGAGCAACCTACCAGCAAAATTGAACCCATCTATCAAAAAAGCAACAATGAAAAGCCAACAGCAGCTAAAAACAGCAATAATAAACAAACCCCAGGCTGTTATGTTACAAATGAGAGAGCAAGGAATGGCCCTTCCCAAAGCAATTGCAACCACCTGACAGAGGGGCTGAGCAAAGATGTGCTCCCAGAGAAGTCAAACCTTTGCTGAGGGTTTCTCTCTGGGGGAAACTCCAGGAATTTGGGACATTCAGGCTGGGGAATAAGCAAGCTGAGGAGTGTGAAAGATCTCTCATGCGTCCTGAAGATGTGAAGATAAAGGGAATCCCCACTGACAATAATGTGGTGTTAGAGCACCTTCCTGCTTTCATGGCTTGGGATGAGCTGCTGGCGGATGTGGTAACACCTTAGAGCAAACTGCAAAGGGGAAATCAGCCCTCTGTTAGCTTTTCCCTGCTTTGCTGCAGCTTGATTTTCCTCTGAGAAATGTCCAGGGTCTGGCTGGGATTGGAGACCCCAACCTGAGGCAGTGGTGGGAAAGGAAATCTGTTGTGGTGGCAAGTGCTGCTCTAAGGAGGTGCCACTGAAGGGTCATTGCTGGGAAAACTGTTATTAAAGAAATGCTGCTCTTTCTGAAAGAGTCCCACAGCTCTGCAATCAGCCTTGGGAAAAGGGAAAGGAGAGGCCAGATCTGCTCCCAGAAATGCAACAAGGTCACAGGGTGGATGAGACCCTCTAGATAGGGTGGAGCAGCAGGGCAGAGAGGGAAAATGAACTGCCTGAGGGGACTTGTTTCATCTCCGACTCCTCCCCAGAACCAGTGCCAGAATTCTGTCCCCAGGCAGGAGCCAGACACGGCGGTGACAGGCATGGAACAGGGCTGGCAGCTCCGGGGGAACACAGAGCCCTCTCCAGCATGGAGCTACCAGGCAAGCCAGACAGAGAAACTGAGGCACAGCCAGCATCCTGGCTTGGTGCAGCCTCACTGACAGCCCCACAGGGGTGTGTGCCGCTCCCTGGGTCACTGCTGCCACCAGCAACTCATTTCTTCTATTTCTTCTTCTATTTCCTCTTCCTCTTCTCTTCTTCTTCTTCTTCTATTTCTTCTTCTTCTTCTTCTTCTTCTTCTTCTTCTTCTTCTTCTTCTTCTTCTTCTTCTTCTTCTTCTTCTTCTTCTTCAT